TGGGTGACCCCTTTGTTGTCCTGCTAAATGCTCAAGCTGATGGGGGACTTCCCATGATGCACTGGGCATTTCAATTGGTTAGTTTAGTCCGTTACTTCCTCCCCACTTTACCACGGTCTTGTCACTGTGGGGGCTATCTTATTGGTTCTCTCTCTCTAATACCTCACAGTGTACAGTGCCTATAACCAGTCTGCAGTCAGCGGGGAAAATATGGATGTTTGATTTTAGGCTGGGCTGAATCTCTAATTTTTTTTTCGCCTCTCAGGTACTCAGACTGCTCCTGGTAGCGTGGGACCGCAGGTTGATCTTCTCAGTCGGTACTTCAAGCACTACAGGAGAGTCGGACACCGTCATCTGGAACGAGGTAACTTCAGACCTAAGAGTGAATCGGATTGGTTGTTAGTTTGTGATGTAAAGACTGACACGTTCTCCCGTCGCTTCCCTTCATTTTAAGGTCCATCATAAGACGGAGTTCGGCTCCAACCTGACGGGCCACGGCTTCCCCGACCCCGGACACCTCGACAACGTCCTGGAAGAGCTGCGAGCTCAGGGCATCACGGAGGATGACGCACTGATGGAGAAGTGAGAGGGCAACGCGAGAGGAGGAGACGGAGGGTGGAAGGGAAGAGGAGGCGGCTGAACCATGAAAATAATAGGAGGAGGAGGAGGAGGAGACAGAATCTCTCTGCCAGCAGTTAGCAGGGGGCGCAGGGCGATTTGGGGTAACGGGGGATGCTGAATTTGTTTAGTCACATCAACCGCAGTGAGTGGAAGTTTGAAGAAGCAGCAGCAGCTCTAGAAAAGCCAGAGTGACGAGGAGGAAGAGGTGGATTTAGGTACTAAACGACAGCGGTCAGAGTGAATCTGTACTAATAATAAAAATAAGTTTACTTTACTGGGAAAGAGTCAAAAAAAGAAGGAAAAAAAGTTAGAGCAGTTCAATAAAAACTGGGAGAGGAAGGACAAAGAGAGGAAGACTACGGAGCAGCTTGGGGCTGTAAGGACAGAGGGAGGAGGGGCAGCAGGAAGAACGAGGGATGGTGCACGGACGTAGCGTAGGATAGGAGTAGAGTAACACTAACTTTTCGGAGAGGAGGAGAGGCTGAGTGCTGCCTTTGTTCAAACCACCTGCTCGCCTGCGGTTGAAGTGCAGTGCTGCGGCGCCCCCTGGCGGGTTTTCTTTTGAACTACATGTCAGTCTGCAGGCTGAGTTATCCACTTTATTTCCTCATTGTTACTATAGTCCTCCTCATTTAGTTATTCCATATTTTACCTCTTAACCTGATGGTTTTACACGAGCTCAGCTCTGTGTGATCATGTGTGTGTGAAATGACTAAAGACCAAACCGACCCCCGCTCACCTGCTGGGCGCCTTCGGAGTGTTACTATCGAGCCACTGTGGTACGAGTTAACCTTAGACACAGGTACCATTTTCTTTATTTCATTCTTTTGTTCCTGACAGATCAGAGTTTCACTGGATGCAGTTTTTCTCTCTATGAAGCGTTTCATTAGAGCTGTGATGAACGTCTCGGGTAGCGGTTAAAGAGGAGGGAGACACGAGCGTGAGGATGGGATCAGATTGGGCAGGAGGTCTGAAGGTCAGGAGATCTGCTGAGTGACAAAAAAGGGCTGTCGCACGCTTTTTTAAAAAGCAAAACAATAAAAACAATATCAAATTTATGGTGTTGTAGGGCTTCGTTATCTCTGGGCTTTGGCCAGCAGTGACCTCCTTCTCACACTAGACCTGTTTGCAGCTGAGCATGAAGCAGACAGATGAGAATTAGTACCTTCAAAAACAGGCTAATCTGAGGGTGAAGGTTAATCTGTAGATCTGCCGGTCAAACGTTCCTGTGGCCCTGAGATGCAGGTAGGGACCGAAGGGATAAGATTGAGGACACAAGGAGCAGAAATGAGACTCCTCCACAAACGTATCTGAGGAGCTCATCATGCAGAAGGAGCTCAGCTGAGGTGTTTTAGGCAGGTCCACAAAGGAAGAGGCCCTGGACACGCTCGAGAGATTATGCCTCTGAGCTGGTTCTAATGCTGTGGTGTTGGAGGAGGCTGCTGATAGAAAACAGATGGAATCTCCTCATCTCTGAAACATCTGCATTTATAGAGTCGCCAGTCGAATCTGATTAAAAACTGCTTCAAAGGTTTGACCACTTAAAAGCTTTTTAGCCCACAAACATTAAACATTATAAACATCTCTGGCTCCTCCCATGAGAACAGAAACCACACTAGGTCTTCATCTTTGCTGCGCCCGCCCACCACCACACAGCTCAAACTGACTTCTGATTGGCTCTTTTGGGGGAGGGTTCAAACGCTGTGAGATGGGCCGGAATAAATGGCATTCTGGGGAACTGTAGAAAAACATTGCAAATTTCATGGTTTAAAATTTTCTTCTTCTTCGGGAAATGTTCTCAATAGCTGTCAAATAAACAGCTAGTGAAATGATTCCTGAGTATTAGGGCCGTCACAGCACCACCATCCAGTTTAGGGCAGCCTCCTGAAAACATCACCGTCATCCGACACGACCACCGGCTTCTTCTACGCCCATGGACATTTGTGCTGGCCTTTAGCCACACCCACACTGTTATCATTTGAAAACCAATCATAAATCCTTAACGGACCAATCAGCACACATTAGCACCAGGATTGATTCATTTGAGTACATCTCTTCCTAGGATTCATTTAAGAAAGCGTGCTCCCACCCTGTCTCTCCACTTGTCTCCACGACTGAAAACATTTTGCCCAGTCTCTGAGTTGGGTCTCTAAATGACCTCTTACCTCGACGTCTGTGTACTGTGTATGCCACAAACATTCTCCCGTTTTAAGCTTTTATTTTGGTGAATACGACAATGGTACTTCCTTCACTTCTTTATTACATTTTTTTAATGGTATTTAGGTACACCTTTGCTTTTTAATAGCATATTTCTTGACACTATTATAGATTAAATTGCCTTTTCATTTTTTTGTACATTTATGTTGTATTGATTATGCTCCTTTTTTTTGATTTTTTTTATGTCATAACGTGTTTACAAAGACAGTATTATTAAATATAATGTCTTTTTTCCTCCCCCCTGTCAGTGTACAGAAGCTGATTTGCATCATCTTTTCTTTTGGAAAAGGAATTTGATGGTAGACTTTTATCTGAGTGTGACATGTAATGAATTTGAATAGAGAGGCAGACACCTTGTACACTTGCTGTTCTGTGAGGTTTCTACATATCAGCTGTCCTGCTGCTGTTCTGCAGACATTTGAAGGTTTCACAGCAGATATTTGTAGATGGGATCGTCCAGCCTTCGTTCAGCAGCAAATAAAATATCTGAAAATGTTATTAAAAAAATCACAACTTCCTCTTATGTTGATGCAGTTTCAGCTCTTTGGCTCAAACACTGCACAGCGACTGAGGAGAATGCTGATTTTGTATGATCAATTAGGTCTTAAATTGTCTTTTTATTAATAAAAGAATGCTTTGAAACAAACAAAGTTTCATTTCTGTTTGTCTTGTCTGGCTCATCCGGATCCAGACCTGAAGTGTGCACTGTCTGAGGTCGTTTGAACACTTTGAAATGTAGGTTTTTCTTTTTATCCATGAAGGTGGGAGGTTTGATGCTGGGTGTTAGTATGGGATAGGGAGAAAGGGACGGGAGAGCGTCACAGACATGACAAGGAAAGTGTAAGTATTTCCAGAGTAACTGCTGGAGTGTGCAAGAGAAAAAGAAAGAAAGACTGAAACTTCATTATTGTGTTGGTCAGATCTTTAGTGGCTGCAATGAGGGACGTAAACTAGAAAAACAGATCCCAGTGCGTGTTTTGATCAAAATAGCTGTGACGCTGCTCGGTCCATATCTCCCTTCGATAGCTCAGTTGGTAGAGCGGAGGACTGTAGAGGGTGATCACAGTGATCCTTAGGTCGCTGGTTCGAATCCGGCTCGAAGGAGAGGTTTCTTTTCACAAAAACTTTGGCCAAGATCTCTGTGTTTATAACGCGGACTTACTAAATGAAACGCGATTATTTTTGCACGTAACAGTTTTGGCGTATACCTCACGTGACCTAACAGGTGTGTCCACGTGAAATTGAATCGCTTGCGTAAAACATGAATTATGCTCAAACAAAACATGTGTTCCCTGACCGGGAATCGAACCCGGGCCGCGGCGGTGAGAGCGCCGAATCCTAACCACTAGACCACCAGGGAGTGATACACATCAACCCTGTGTATGACGATGAAAAGTCTGTAAAGGTGATCTCAGCCAATGATATAATTTGTTGTTCTTCAGCCTGGTTCTGCTAACATTTCTTCCTGTTAAAAGGGAGTTCTTCCTTGCCACTGTCACCAAAGTGCCTGTTCATGGAGGTTCATATGATTTTTCAGGGTTTTCTTCATTTTCTTCGTATCATTGTAGGATTTTTACCTCACAATATAAAACACCTTGAGGCAACTGTTGTTGTGATTCTTACCTTACCAGCTGTAAGTAAAATTGAATTGAATTGAAGAACTAAACAAAAAAAACAAACAAAACAAATTAAAGTGAAATAATTATATAATTAAGCTATAACATACATTTTCAAGATGTTTTTTTCATCCTCTGTTATGTCCATACTCTTCTTCTTCATCAACCAGATCTCAGGACTTGAGATGAAACCGAGTGGTGTGTCCACTGGGGGGCAATGAGTTAAATAGGAGAATTACCAGACCAGCTTCTTTTAAGGTCTGCTTAAGTCCATCCATTCTGCAGTTTGTGTGAAGGCCTGTTCTCCCAGTGCCAGTGTAAAACTGATTTGATTTGAACAGAGCTTAAATATGTTTTTCAACCCCGTCAGTTTCGTGGGGATATCCTGCACTTATAAAGTTATGCATGCTGAAAAATGGTGTGAGTCTATGAACTGTGAGCGATTTTATCTCGGAACCCTGTGACATAAATAATCAACAATTTCTAGATTTTAATGACAAAATTAAAAAATAATGAAAAAAAAAACACGCGACCTGTTATTTTTTTAGTACTTCCGGGGTGACTGTCATGGCGGCGCCCATAACGCTCTAGCGAAAGGAACCTAAACACGTTCATGAAATAATAAAGCGCTGTGGAGCGAAGCAGCCATGAAGTTCAAAGATCTGCTGAAGTGGAACGCCAGAGTATCCGCCGTGTACGCGATTGGTATTTGGACCATGGTCGGCTCGTACGCTTACCTGAAATACACAGGTCGCTGCGAGGTCGCGCCAGGTGAGCGACGTGAACTGTGAAATTCACACATGCGCAAACAATATTCTCAAACTGAAGTACGCCGAATTATTTAACAGCCTCTTTTTGATGCGTGTCATCGGGTATGCTGGCAGATGTTACTCATTTAATGTGAAGAAACTGAAGAAATATTAAAATGAGATGAATCTAAGAGGAGCTCTGAGACGTGCCCCTTTCTTCCTGCAAATGCATGCAATAAGTTACACCGGAGGCTGCGTATCCAGCTTACATACATTTGAGACTTTTCTGAGGTTTCACGTTCTGCTGGTTGGTGAGAGAGGAAGGAACCACAAACAGGACAAAACAGAGGTTACTGACCTGCAGCTGTGGCGTATAAAGAAACAGATTCTCTCTCTAGTCTGAAATAACAAATTTCATTTACTTTCAATATCAGCTGATCCAGTTTGTTTGCACAGTGCTACCCTTTATTGCTGACACATATATTCATAGAAGTAACTGATAATGAATGTTTATGATTGCCCTCCTCTTACTCAGTGAAAAAAGAAGAAGTGGAAGAGCCGCAGGATCCAAACCAGGAGGTCTACAAGACAGCACACGCCAAAACTGTCATCACCTATAAGAAAGACTTTGTCCCGTACACCACAAGGATCTATAATCTCATCTCATCCTTCAGCGGCGATCGAGGGGCTGGAGACGACAACAAATGAACCTCTCCAGTTAATATTTATGTATTTCTGTGAGGACATTATAATGTTTTTGTTTTTTAAGGAAACTCCAGCTGCGTGTCCACCTGTCCTGCTCTGATGGCCTCAGCCAGCTTTTAGTATCAAACTGTAAACAGTATTCAGTACTGTTCTGTAATTCAGATGCTCGTGGTGTGTAAATAAACCCCCAAAATGCTGAAATCTGTTTCAGTAGAAAGATTAAAGGTTCATCTGTGATTCATGTTATAGGTTGGAACAGGATTTGGGGCCTAGTGATGTTTAATCCTGGATTTTCAGTGTGACAGAGGTCGTTTACTTTTTACCTTATGTTTGACGAGTGATGTCAGCAGTTGTGAAGTCACCACCAGCTGACCAGTCAGTTCTCTGGAAAATAAAACCACGACTCCAAGAAGATCCTTCAGACCACAGAGCTCAGATTATAATAAGATGTAAAGTTTTTCAACAGCATTTAAAGTCTTGGTCTTTCCATGATAAGCATCAATAAGAAATACGCACTGGAGCCTTGGTCTACACCACAGGCCTGCAAGGCCGTGATGGAAGAGGACCTGTTCGTCAAATAAGACTTGAACCAGTGCCGCAAACACTACAGTTCTGAAGATGTGAACTGAACATCCTGTGGTCCCTCATCAAATTCAGCAGTGAAGTGAAATAATATAGTTACAGAGTCATTAGTATCAGTAACATGTAAAAGGTCATGGAAACGCTGTGTCCTGGAGTCAGAACAGACTGAAAAACTCACCAATACTGCAGCTGCTGCAAAAGATCGGTGCAGATCCATCTAAACTTTGACGGATGTGTCAGGACAATATTTATTTACTTAACGAGAGGATGCACTGTTGCACGTTTAAAGACAGACCTGATTGTGCTGAGGATGATTCAGCTCTTCTGCATTGTTTTCTCACAGACTCTAGGTCCTGTTCAATCTTTAAAACCCCAGTAGGATGTAAAAAATCAATTACAATCAGCCTTAAAGTACAAGAACTGTGCATATTAAAATCCCAAAGAATTAGTATGTACTATATATTTAAGCACACCTTCCGTTTAAATATCAGAAAATTCCTGGATTAAATCCCTATTAGATTTAGGTGGATGAGCAGGCCACACCTCCTCTGCATCTTAACCTGGGGAGAGATAATAATCCCACATTTATGAGTGAAAGCTCGGAGAATGCACGTGTCTCATTAGCCAGCCAGGTTTCAGTCACATGTGGAGGAGCTGTGACCGAGACAGTCTTTGACCACCCGGGATACCGAGTGACCAAAAACAAAGAGGTCATCCACAGATGCACCTGAACTGTGACTGAACTGTGTAGTGAGCAGCACAGAGCCCACCACCTCTTCCCTTACTGGAGTCTTTGTTGTAATGCTTGCTGTGCATCGCTGTATAAACTAACCAGTGTCTGCGAGATTAAAGAAATCTTAAAATCGAAGGATTCTCAGGAGAATTTAAGGAGGGCTTAAAATGGGGACTCTCCACCAACTGGTCTTAGAACTGAAGAAGGCTCTCGGATGAGAGGTGAAACGTCTTCACGCAACTCAAAGAAGTCCAGTCCCAATTCTATTCAAGCTCCTTGGATGTGTCGACTATCAAGGATTTATTTGAACAGAAATTAAACTCAACTGTAAATAAAAATCTGAAATAAAACAAAAGTAAAAAATAGTTTTTAAAAACTCACTCTGATAGTGATGTAGAGAAAGCGGAACCATAACTGTACAAAAACTCATTTTGTCGATTGTCAGTTCTGATATTTAGTGCTGATTTCTGACAGCTATCTGAGAGGAAATTTATCCAGATTACATGACTTTGGGATGTAGACATGAGTGGGAGTCACAGGGAAATAGAAGAGTAACGAGAGACCAACAACTGGGACAAAATACAGGAGAGAGAAGACAGAAGTTATTGACCTACAGTGGTGGCGTTTAAAGAACCGGGGAATCTCTCTCAAGTCTGCAAAGTCTACAACAGGGGTGTAAAACATGAGGCACGGGGGCCAGAAGCGGCCCAGCAAAGACTCCAGTCTGGACCACTGGATGGGTTTGGAAAATGTGAAGGAGTGCACAGAATTGATATTTTACAGCTTTTCCTATTAATAAAGCCCCCCGCACCCATTTCCATTAATAGTACAACAAATGAATGAAGTAATAGATGATGGATGATAATCATGATCATTTTATTTGTTTTTGATGTTTGCACTGGTCTCATTAGCCAGCAAGGTCTCAGTCACATCCCCTCCATGTGTGACTGAGACAGTTTTCGGCCACCTGGGATACCGAGTGGCTGAAAACAAAGAGGGAAGAGAAACTCCACAGATGCACGTGAAATGTGACTGAACTGTTTGGTGAGCAGGTTATGTTGTTCTCACTGTTTATTAAGATGAATGAAGTCTGTCTAAAGCAGTAACGTTGATTTTGAATCAATACAAGCCATCTGTTTTAAGGCCGCCTTCATGAGAGCTGAAGGCAGATCTGCCACTTCTCTTACCTGCTGGTGTCACTGGTATCTGCTGTACATGAGGCTGGGAGTGCAGGTGGAGGTGAAACGAGTCACCAACTGTCCAGGAAAACATAGACGAGTCAGGGACTGAAGATACAAGACACAGCAGTATTTGCATCTGATTGATCAGCTTTATGGGAGAAGGAGAAGATCCAGAAAGTGACTGGTGACATTTAAACTGTTATAAATGATTTGTTGGTCTATAATCTATCAGATACATCTGTCATGAATGGCATCAAGCTATTTGGGGCCAGAAAGTACATTCCTATCAAAAGATGGACATGGCGATCTGTTTTTGGCAAAGTGAATTCTTATATCCTTTATTTATACAAGAAGAAGTGTCATAGACGTTAGATCTGCCCAAGAGGGTAGCAGAAATTAGGACAACCTAACATCACAGTAATATAAAGATATTTTAAGCGTCCAAAAGGGAACTCTATTGATTACAACGAATGTACAATAAGACAATAAGTCCTGCGAGCTACAGGTCATTTCTTTATTCTGTTTATAACACCGTAATAAATCATGATAACTACAGTCTATTTGCCAATGTTAGCAAGGGTATGAGGCATAAAAATAAACATCGAAAACTGCTTTTTGGCACAACACTGGAGAGGAGGACACCTGGTGGTAGATCCGAGGGCTCCACAGGTGAGGTGGAGTTAAAGTCACTGCCCTCTGTGAGCTGTTCCTGGGCTGCAGGTCAAGAGGAGTAAAGACCATCTGCCTCTATTCGTTTTTTTATTTAGCCGACACACCCGCTGGTCTGTACACGTCATTTCCTCAAGCTGTTTACCCTCTCAGGTGTGGGTGGAGCTAAACAGCTCACATAGGAAGTGTGTCCAGTCCACTCAAACACTGATGCACTTTCGGTTTGCGGCATCTGTGCAGCTGATCGCTTTGTTTGTGTCTGGAAACAAATATTAATCGGATTTCTTCGGGAGTTTCCGCCCAGCTTTGGTGAGTCGAGCTGAAAACTCTTAACGCAAACATGAAAATTCAGTTTAGGAAGTTTCAGGGGAGAAGGGGATGTTTGGTGAAAGGTTCCAGGTGTTTGCGCTTCTGTTCCGAGGCTCTGCGTGCAAAGCGCCACGTGATTCACGCATCAGTGAACGGCTTTGTGATCTTAAACAGGCGCGTTTTAAAAGTTTCATTTCAGCCTGTTTGTTTTGCTCCCTCCCCTTTGGCCGACCTCCAGAAATGCTTTGTCCCCTCCATGAGCGCACGAATAAACTACGCGATCAAATATTTAAAACTATACCCCCGAAAACAAAGGCTTCTCTGGGGAATCTAAAACAATGCGATGTTTTCAGTTTTGGTTTATGTGTGGAAAGTACTAAAAACAAAAATGGAAACCTTAGAATCAGTTTCTGAGTCACGTGTCTGATGCTCTGTTGTTTACATGCTAAAGTAGAAAAAACACCGATTTTGTCCTGTTGTTAACAGACTATTTTTAAAATGTGTTAATATTGAACCCACAAATGCATCAAAGGTGGACGAATAGCAAACCTGAACCACACCTGGCAGAAACTAAGGTAAAACAGTCCACCGTGGAATTTATCCATGACTTAAACTTATAATGGTGAAACAGCGCTGAGATGCTAATGTTGCACAGGCCAGGGAACAAACAGAGCAGAGACGGAAGAAAAGAAATTACAGCAGAACTCAACAGAGAGTTGAGGACAATACAAGAGCTCTGCTTCAGCTCACAGGACGTGTTATTCTGCACTGGGTAACCAGCGTCTTTCCTTTCTGTTCTCAGTGTCCAAACATGGCTGCTGCCGCCTGTCTGCTGACTGAAGATCAGTTTCTGTGCGCCATGTGTCTGGATGTGTTCACTGATCCGGTCAGCACGCCGTGTGGACACAACTTCTGCAAACACTGCATCACTGATCCCGTTGACGCCGACGTCCCGTTCCAGTGTCCCGTCTGCATGAAGATGTTCTACCCAAAGCCCGAGCTGCAGGTCAACACTCTGATCTCTGAGATGGTTGATACCTTCAGACGGGCAGAGCAACGGCCAGCCAGACAGGAAGAAGTTCTCCTTGGGTTAGACTTAAAACCACTGCCGCTGCTTCTCTGTGTGGTGTTTCTTTCATTACTTTGGGACTGCATGAAATTCAATCATCCTCTGGAGGAAATGAGTAAAGGAGAGAAACTGGTGAAGATGGAGGCTGAAATCCAGCAGACGATCGAGGAGATGCGACTGAAGATTGAGGAGCTCAAACGCTCAGTGGAGCTCGGTAAAGAGGACGCAGACAGAGAGATGACAGATGGTGCTCGGGTCTTTGCTGCTCTGAAAGAGTATGTCGAGAAAGGTGAGGCCAAGCTCACGGAGGCCATCAGAGAGAAGCAGAGACAAACAGAGCTGCAGGCTGAAGGCTTCATCAGAAAGATGGAGCAGGACATCCGTGAACTGAAGAAGAGGAAGACGGAGGTGGAGCTGCTCTCTGTGCTTCAGCTGGAGGAAACTGCAGAGATGAAGGAGAAACTACCCAAGATGCTCGCCATGGCCAAGCTGAGGAGGGCCCAGAGCTACGCAGTGGACGTGACACTCGATCCAGACACCGCAAATGCTTACCTCTTCCTGTCTGATGATGAGAAACAAGTACATGATACCTATATGGAGAGAGATCTTCCCTACAACTCAGAGAGATTTTTTTACAGTGCTGCTGTTTTAGGAAAACAGAGTTTCTCTTCAGGCAGATTTTATTTTGAGGTTCAGGTTGAAGGAAAGGGCGAGTGGACTTTGGGAGTGGCCAGAGAGTCGATCAACAGGAGGGAAGACATCACACCGAGACCTGCAGCCGGTTTCTGGACTGTAGGCCTGAGTAATGGAAATAAATACAAAGCTGGCCCTGATGTCGCTCTCTCTCTGCAGTCTGCTCCTAAGAAGGTGGGGGTGTTTGTGGATTATGAGGATGGCCTGGTCTCCTTTTATGACGTTGATACTGCAGCTCTGATCTACTCCTTCACTGGCTGCTCCTTCACTGAGAAACTCTACCCATACTTCAGTCCTGGACTGGAAAATGATGGTTGGAACTCTGCACCTCTGATCATCACCCCCGTCAATTAAAGAGGGCTCATTGTGCTTTTCTGTCTTTACTTTCATCAACAACAGGCGATTCTGATATTCACCTTCAATTGGCAGACTTTGGCTATTTATACTAAACCTCACCAGCAAGATCCCAGGACCTCCATCACTCAGACTTGGAGGTGCTGACGCTCGTAGTGCCACGTTCACGTTGAACGTCACCCTCCTCACCTCGACTACACACTTGATTAGCACAAACACAATCTGAGACAAGGCATGACCCTGCCTGAGTCCAGATCAACCAGGGCCATGCCTTGGTCCAGGATCTTCCAATAACATGATGATGTGCATGCTATTAGAATTCCCAGCAGTCATGTGCCCACTGAGCTTCACCAGCTCAACATCACCACTGGGTCCACCAGCACTGGATGAAAGGATGAATTTAGTACATTTACTCTAGTACTTCACTGAAGTAAAGTTTTAATGTACTTGTACTTTCTTTGAGTAATCCTCTGTATTTTGGGTGAAAATACTGTATTTTGTCCTCTGTGTGTGTAACCAGACCCTAACTGACTAAATGTCGGACAAGGTGTGTGTTTGTGTGTATTTTCCAACTTTCTTGCCACAATAAACAAAAAAGAAAAAGAAGTTTGACTTTGTGGTCTTTCATCATGGTCCCCTCATCGTGTAGTCATCTCTGTTTGGGTTACTGTCAGAAATCAGTGTTAGGTCATTAGCATCCACGTGTCAAAAACACTGGTATTTCTGGGGGTAAAACTTTAAAATGTTGTAAACTAAACTTCATCAATTTATTTTAAAGTTTTTATTTGGGGTTTTAAAACCTGCTCATGTATTCTGCTGTATTATTATTGATAAATCAAAACGGCAGCATAAGAAGGAATTAAAATAATATCCAACTGCAACATTAAGTTAATCCCATACAGCTGATCCAATAAAGGAATTCTTTACTTTAGGCCCTTTAAGACTTTAAAACTTTTGTTCTGGCTCTTACTTTACAAGCTTTATGACTTTTCTTTAACAGATACTCTATTCTAGCTTCTTTCAGCCCACTGTAAAGGAGGATTTCAATACAACGCAATGATTAAACTCACTTGCAAACACTTTTGATGTGATGACATCTAAATGAGGGTGCAGCAGAGCTCCTTCTCCCTCAGACTGATTCAACCTCACTGCCATAAAGAACGCTTTAGGAAATCTTTCCTACAGATTGAAGCATGTTTTTGTATTATACCTTCATGCTGCTGTTTTTTTTAGTTATACATATTATTTATTAATCCAATTTGCACTTCTTCTTCATTGTTTTTAACTACATTTTTGTTTGTTTTTATCACACTGCAAGAATTTGTTTACAACAGTCTCATAGTATAAACCTCTTACTTTGTTGTTTATTTGTTGTGTATTGTACACTGTACGATTTTATTCTTTATTATGCTGCTGTAACACAAAAGTTTAACCTTGTGGGATCAATAAAGCATCTGTCTATTAAAGTAGGCTGTACTCCCCTTAGGTGCAGCATGTGTGCATGCAGGTTCACCTTCACGGTTTTCTGGGTAACTAAGGTTTTATTAATTTCACTCTTGCTTTATCCACTTTGACAGCTCGCAGTAAAAACTGTCAGCTGTAAAAGTCTCGCGTGGGCTTTAATAAATTCCTCCCTGTACACTTGAATCTCAGGACCCGTGTTACCGGTTTCAACCACCAGGGGGAGACATCGTGCCGTGCGCTCTGTTGATTCCCGGAAGTTGTGACAGTGTGCTCCCCAACACAACCACAACAATGAAAGCTATCATTCAGAGAGTCACGAAGGCGAGTGTGACAGGTAAGCTTTAACCTGAGCGCGGCTGCTGCATTTTGAGAATGTATTTAAACTCGAGCCTGCTCACAGCTTCCGCTCGTTTCCGTCGCTGACACGTCGCCTTAGCTAAGCTAGCAGGGTTAGCATTAGCCAGCAGAGTGAATGCAGAATGAATGCAGCAGAGCTGTTGTCTCTCCAGCTGTCAGCCGCTGCTGGAGCTCAGAGGGGCGTGATAGCAGTGAACATGTCCTGTATGTCTGCGGGGCTGACGGCTGGCGACTGTTCTCCGACAGCCGGCCACCTGTCAGCCTCTGCTAGCTGCCGGTGTGCAACAGTAACAACAGCTGGAGGGCAAACAGTTCACAAAAACACGCTCATATATGCGTGGTTACATTTTATTTCTCAGTCTATATTATTTTCTCACGCTAAGAAAGTGCGTTTAAAAATGTCTACAGTGCTGATTTAACCGGTCAGTTTTTATTTTTCTCCTAAATATGCTTTAAAAAGTACAAAGTCAAGTCACAATTCTCACAATCTATCGCAATAAAGAAAATCAGTCAAATCCATCTTCATGTTTATTGTGTGGGAAACATGACGTCCTCTAGAGCTCTCTACAGTGGATCATCATTTGATCCTACCCTAGTATCTGTCACACCAACCCTCTGTACGTCCTCCTTCACTACATCCATGAGTCTTCTCTGTGGTCTTCCTCTCTTCTTCCTGCCTGGCAGCTCCATCTTCAGCATCCTTTGTCCAGTATATACACCATGCCTCTTAGTAGCTAGAAGAGCAGAGGTTAGAGCAGCTGGCCAGTAAGCAACAGGCTGCTGGTGTGAGTCTCTGTTCAGATGCTGACATCTCTGACATGGCTCATTTTGTCATGTAAAAAAAAAAAAAGTAAAATGAACAAAAAGCTGAAGAAACGAATATTAAAGACACACATTTGATGGTTTCTACAGTTTGAGTAATGGCAAGAATTGATGTTTGCACATATCTTCTGTAGGGCATGCATCTGTGTGAGAGATTACATTGAATGGATTCTGAGACATGCGTTGGTATAATTTCGCTGCTTCAGTGCACAGAAGGCCAAAGTGACCCTCAGACAGTCAAGTAGAACGCGTTTACCGCTAGGTTTAAATCAGTTCCAAGTATCCAAGACGAAAAACAAATTCACTGCAGTTGCAAATATCCACACATGTCCAAAGCTGCCTGTAATGCTTTTATAGAAACTTGAAAATGAACAAATTTTGAGGATGTAAAAACATAAAATCTCCTTTGTCTGATTTCTTCAAGTTGGTTGTGATCTCTGTGGGCACGGCGTTGCCTGATATCTCTGTGCCAGTGTTCATTTTGTTGTGCTTTCTTGCAGTGGGCGAGGAGCAGATCAGCTCGATCGGACGTGGACTGTGTGTGCTGCTGGGCATATCTGTGGAGGACACGCAGAGGGATGCTGAGTACATGTGAGTGCAGAAAGCAGAAAGTACACCCTGAGATCTCAAACACTGTAATTTCATCATAAAAAGAAGGGAAATCTAAATAAACTAAAAGCACACAGTCAAAATAATAAAACATTTATGCAAAAATTAAATGTCTTCAATGATTCTGATCCGGTCGATCTACGTCCCTACCCTCACCTATGGCCACGAGCTGTGGGTAGTGACCGAAAGAACGAGATCGCTGATACAAGCGGCAGAAATGAGCTTCCTCCGAAGGGTGGCTGGCCTCTCCCTTAGAGACAGGGTGAGAAGTTCGGCCATCCCTCCACATCGAAAGGAGCCAGCTGAGGTGGTTCGGGCATCTGACAAGGATGCCTCCTGGGCGCCTCCTGGGTGAGGTGTTCCGGGCATGTCCCACCGGGAGGAGGCCCCGGGGCAGACCCAGGACACGCTGGAGAGATTATATCTCTCGGCTGGCCTGGGAACGCCTTGGTATTCCCCCGGATAAGCTGGAGGAGGTGGTTGGGGAGAGGGAGGTCTGGGCGTCTCTGCTTAGGCTGCTGCCCCCCCGACCCGTTGACTGAATTGAAAACAGAAAGTGTAAAATAAATAAAAACAAAGATTAATATAAAATACAGAAGTATAGGAGAGGCTGTGTTGTTCTCATCTTTGTGTTTTCAGGGTGCGTAAGATCCTGAACCTGAGGCTGTTCGAGGACGAGCACGGCCGAGCGTGGAGCAAAAGTGTCATGGAGCGAGACTTTGAGGTTCTGTGTGTGAGCCAGTTCACCCTGCAGTGCATCCTGAAGGGCAACAAGCCGGACTTCCACTCGGCCATGCCCGCAGAACTCGCTCAGCCTTTCTACGACAGCATGCTGGAGAACATGAGGAGCACCCACAAACCGGAGCTCATTAAAGGTGGGTCAAACAGAGGCGTAGGGCCACGTCAGCAAAGCCTTCTTTTTGACTATAAAACACTGTGACTGAAAGCTGTGGACACCGGTTGACTCTTTAAACTGCAGTAGCAGTTTAAGATTAAAATCTTTATTAAAAGCAGCTGTTAATGGGACTCAGATGTGAAGCGAGTCAGATTAATGTTAGACGTGTGCGACTAATCGAGTCTAAGATCGCTGCTTTGTTAGTCGGTTAAACAGATTGTTCCTACTTTATCGATGTGTGTCAGCAGTTGGCAAAAGCTGCGACTCTAACGACCAGCAGAGCCTCTTCCTCTCTGGTATGGTACGATGTGAAGGGTCAGACATGAACTATAAACCACTGCAATACTTTGAAGTAGGAAATGAGTGGCTGTGTGAGAGGCGTGTGGACGCCAGCCTGCAGAGAGTGAAGGTTAAAGTTAGCACTGCTGACGTTAGCTGTTAAACAGCCATGTTTAGCCTCGTGCTTGGGCTGGGTTCAGTTTTAAATGCTTTCAGTGTGTTTGCTGACTAGTTGACTACATCCCTAGTTTGAATCTTACAATATTTAACATTAACTTTAAATAAATTCCTCCAGCTTCACAAGTAGTTCTGTTACTGGTGACCAGTTTACTTGTCCAAAAGTAAGAAACACTGTCCATATGAACATGTGGTTATTTAAGAGAATGAATGAAACTGAATAATATTCTTTGATAATCCAGTTATTCTCAGATGCCGCTGAGATGTGCATCTCTTTTTGCTGATGTTAACGTTGCAAACACTCAGACTGCGGTTGGATTGCTGCGTGTGCTAACATTAGCAGTGCTAGGATCTGTAGCATCCACATGCTTCTTTGGTCAAATGGTTAAATCAAACGCTAGTTTTCTCTGATAAATCGAACCAGCACCTGTCCATTTTCTGAGACCTGCGCTGGTTTATGCAGCTGTCGTCTGCCCGACTTTCCACCTCGCTTTTTTACAACTTCCTATCACAGAGAGTGGGTCTCAGGTGTCTGCGGGTGCTACAGATGTTGGAGGATAGTGTTGTTAAATTACAGGACGAGCCGGTGACCAGTAATGTACGTTCATAAAAAGGGAAGAAGAATTGCTTTAACTGACTTGTGGTGCTCAATAATGATGTTTAATCGTCTAATCGACTATTTCTAAACATCCATAATATCACAAGACACGCATGCATGCAGCAAGAAGAACAAAAGCTGTGCTCATGTTTATGCAGGTGGCTCAGTAACATTTCATTAACACATGATGTAGGACTTTGGAATTGATGGTATAGGTGTGTCTGCAAGCAGGCTGAGGGGTAGCACCGATGGTTGCAGGTATTTTCAGGTTTGTTATAAAGCATGCTTCATCTCGATGAACCCTCTGCTCCACCTGAGTGTCAGATTCATCCAGAGATCACACAGTTCCCTGTAATTCCCAGCAGAAGAGTAAAAAACATATCATACCCATCAGCTGCTTACCTTTAATCTGAATTGTCATGCTGTGTGTGAGAAAAACGGCTGCGTGAAACCTTCACGCTGATATTTTGGTTAGCGGGTTACCCGCTCCCTCGTCAGGCCTGCTTGTTGTGGAGCTGCTCATTTGTGCTGCTTTAGTTAAAAAGCTGGTCATTAATGAAATGAACTAGCTGCACTCTAATTAGCACATAGCTATTTCATCCTCAACGCTCAACGCCCCTCTCAGTAAATCCAGCCCTTCATCATCTTCACTGCCCCACTTTAAAGTCCTCTGATTTTTGCCCCCTGCTGGAGTTTAGGTCTGGATATTGATATTGAGCTGATAGCTGCTGTTTCAAGCTAAGATGGATTATTTTAATTAAAAAAATAGCCACAGTCTGTTGGCGGTCTTTTCAGAGACCAGTCTTAATAGAGTCCCAGGAGGCTGCAGGACGGCATGGCTGAAAAATGCCTGTTACCTGATACAAAGCTAATTGGAAACAAAAGGTCAAAGGTCACAGCTATTGCCACACACTTATGGGCCTGGACTAGTGATCCTGCTCCCTGCTATTTAATTGCCCGTATTCCCATCTCGGTGTAAGGTTACAGCAGTTTAGGCGGTGGATCATCGGTGTGGTGACGCGCTGGCAATGACGGTGGCGGTGAACTGGGTCAGCCCACCGGGGAGCAGGTGAGGAGAACACCTTGTCCCAGCGAGGGAGGTGTAGGGCTTCTTAATTAGGAAGCCTTCCGCCTCCCCCTCCAGAGAGAAAATGCGATGATGCAGCGCTTTTTCCACCGCGGCCCAACGGCTTCATTGTGCAGATGGTGTCATTAATCTCGTGGACTCGGTGGAAGAAAGGAGAACATTTGAGAAACTTCCTGTCCTCGCACCTCTCCGTCGCCTTTGTCCCCAATGTCTCAAAGCTCCACGTCACATCGTGAAACATCAAGTGCTGATGCCTGTAAACTGTAATCTCTATTCATTTGTCTTCTTGGTTTTATCATTGTAGATGGGAAGTTTGGGGCTCGCATGCAGGTCCACATTCAAAACGACGGACCGGTCACCATCGAACTGACATCACCGACTGGACCCACAGACCCCAAACAGGTACCTCACTCAGCACGAAGCTTTAAAGACTCATCTTAATACCTCAGATACCACTGGCCGCTGCCTTTCCTCCAATGTGCAGTGCCTGCAGGAGTGTACCTGTTACCCATCACCTGTCATGTTTGTATACGAGTTAGATAACAAGGAGACCTTTCATATGCTGTTACTTGTACTGAGCAGCAACTCTCCCACTTTGTGAGATGACTTTTCAAAGTTTGCCCAAATTGCATTTTTCATGGAAGTTTTCTCCAGTGAATGATCAGAAAAAGCTCCAGTATCAATGCTTGTTTCTGTTCCTCTACATTAAAGACATGAAATTGCTGCAGTTTATTGAAACTAGGATGCGTCCCATGACAATGATGCTCAGAGGAAATCAAAATTTCACATGGATACCTCCCTGTACTTGCATAAAAAAATAAAAAATAAGGTGACTAAGAAAGCACCGATTTTCGACAGACTCCCGTCTCTCTGTACTTTGAGGGCCTGTAACTCTGGTGCATCTAATCAAGGCATGCAACATTTTTTTGAATATAGTCACACTCCAAATAGTTACTGCACAAAAAAAAAAAAAAAAATGAGAGGGTTAGCAGGGAGGAGCTCCCTAATTTGTCAGTGTGAAGGAGTTCATTTCTATTGTACCACCAGGTGGCGGTGTTTGCTCTCCTCTCATGTACAGACTCTTGATTCTTATGCTACAGATTTTTGTTGTTGTTTCTTTTTTAAAATGAGTGAAATAAGAAGCATCCATTATTTATACCCTTCAGGTTTCTTGAAGTTTATTTTATTTTTATTTTATTTTGCTTGATTTTGTGTGATTTATACGAATACTGTTCAATATCTGACTGACTAAAATTAAATCTAAGTTTTATAAAGTCATGCATCCTTAGATCTGAGTTTGAAAGAGTCACACAGCGGTTATTTTTAAAATCCACAAATGCTTCGAATTTAAGCAAAGTGAAACTCGAGGAATGAAAACAATATAAAAATTATATCCAATAACATCTATAAATCCAGCCAGTTAAATGAATATTAGAAGTATAATACACAAAGTAGTGTGTTGTGTGGATGCGTCTGCATGTGGGAAAACCTATCATCTCACTCAAAGTCACAAACTCACAGATCATTGCTGCCCAGCTGATCGTTTTGGTTTTATAACTCACAATCTTTCATCGACTTTTTTCCACAAATGCAATAAAAATTCAACAAAATAAAGTAAAATTTTAGAAAAGTAAAACACACTAAATTAGCTTACTTATTTTTACTTATTTCTTTTATATTTTCATCCATATGAGACACCCGTGTGACTGATCTACCATTGAACAGGCCCCACGCTTTTATTTTGAAGGTTCAGTTACTGCTAACTTGCTGGCTGTAGCCCTTCATGTAAGATGTGCCCCTGTCGTTATGCTGATGTGCTCGTGGTTTGTTTCACTTGCAAAGCTAGTGCTTTTTAGGCTGGGTGTTAAGTTTGCAGAATTCCAGGATCCCAAATCCCAAATTAAGGATTCAAGAAAAACAATCTAGATTTGGGAAAGCAGAAAACAAAACTTTAAGCTCTCAGACAGCAGCCACGATTAACGTGTGTCACCCCCACGGAGCCGCGCTGATTCACTGATATCTCACTATCACTCAGTCGCCTCCGTGAAGGAGCTGAAAAGTCCCCCATTTGTTTTAGGTGTGTGTGTGTGTGTGTGTGTGTGTGTGTGTGTGTGTGTGTGTGTGTGTGTGTGTGTGTGTGTGTGATAGAGAGAGACAGGGTGTTATGTGTGGGTTTGAGATGATTGGCACCATCGGCCCACATGCTCACGCTCTCCCTCTGCTGTACCTGTCCAGGCTGTGACTGTTTGCTCCAGGAAACCGGAGTCAAACCAGGATGCCTCCTTTCTAAAGGGATGGTTTTATTCTGAAAGTGTGCGCTGTGATCTGAAAGGGTTAGTATATCATTTTGATTGCATGCAGGGAGCTTTGACAGGTTTTCATGCTCGGTGCTTTTAGGGAAAGCGACATCAGTGTGGTGCTGGATGAAAAGTACATTAGCAGGTGATTCATTTTAGCTTCTGAGAAGTCTTGATATGAGTACAGAGGACCAGCTCCAGGGGACTGAAAGCACCAGAACTGAATTAAATTAACAGTTTTGAAGCTTCATTTTCTTATTTTTTTTCTTATTATTTTACCTTTTTTTAAAAAAACTAAAATGAAGGAAAGGTTCCTGAGCCAATCCAGGATTTTCTATTTGTTTAAAACGCATAAAACAAACTTATTTTAGCTTCATTTAGTCCTAATTTTCACCTTCACTCAAAGTGTCCCCTCAAAATATAAACTGATCTTTTTTCTTAAGATCATCCTGTACCACAACCCAATGCTTTGTCAGTGACTTTGTATTTCATTGATTCTTTGCCTTTAAGTGTTTTCTCGCCACATCGCTTGTTAAGAAAACAAACACCGTTACAGGACGGCTGTGAAAATCTGAACTGTGAACAGAGATGTACTTCATAAGTTTATCCCCAAATCCTGCTACATCTGTAAATCTTCATCTTCCTCCTGCCTGTTTTTGCAAAATGTCCCTTTTTTTTAAAACCAGCTATTTTTATAAAACCAAGTAACACTGCAGCAGATGATTTATTAACATGCAGCTGTAACTAATATTTATCTTTTCTTTGCAAGTCCGTTTTGCATCATTGATGCATTTTCGCTTTCTTTCATTTTTTAATTGAAGCAAAAACTTTGTTGATTGATCAGTTTGTCAGATTTTAATTTCAGTCACAATTTTGTGTTTCGACAACTATTAAAACAAGATAACTGAGATCAAATTCTTATGTTGAAGAAAAGTCCAGGTTCACTCCTCATCAGGATGGTTTAGTTTAGCTCGCATTAATTAATTTATTTCACCAATTAAAGTTCAAGCAAATGCACGTTTTCATTATTTTTTTTAAGGCTGGATCAAGCTACATGATCATGGTCTCATTCGTGATTTGTTCAACTTTGGATTTACTCGATTTTCTCTGCAGTGATTCTGTGAACGAGTCATGAAATGTTTGTTTTTTTTTGGGGTTTTTTTTTTGTGTATTTAACCGCTGATTTATGAATGAATAAGAGTCAAGTAATGGAGATAGAAATCAGTGCAAAAGTGGACAGTTTCCTGCAGCGACAGGATGTTTCTCAGCTCCTTCTGCCACCAGAACGAGCTTCGTGCAGCCTTCCTGAATTCTGCTCACTTCTGTGGAGCCCAGTTAGCGTCCTTATGCCTTGGCTGCAGGCAGGCTTTGGCTGCTCTCCCCATGGTGGACTTGGCTTGCTTGCCCAAAGGGAGGGATATTAAGCAGTCCTCAGAATTTTAATCTTGTCTGTTTGGGATGTTTTGCTGTGGGGGCTGAGGAACCAAAGCCAAGACTGAACATGAGGGATAAAAGGCCAGCCAATAGGCTATGCTTGGCACGGGGTGGGAAATGAAGCAACAGCCAGCAGACACTGTTCCTTTCTTTCCATGAATCAGGGATTTAGTCCACCACAGGGTCAAGCGGCCAGCAAACAATAGAGTTATCCAGAGCAATGAAAATCATCCAGTTTTGGATGTTCTCTTTGGGAAGCTGGAGGCTGCAGCCCGATGGCAGAGGGCTCCAGAGTTTTTCTGTTTGTTCACCTTACTGTTGGTGCATTTTGATTTAGGCTGTGGGCTGAAACCCAACATTCACAGGAGTTACATAATGTTTGATCATGCTAAGCTTTCACTGGGTTGGAGATCAGAGTTTTGGGTTTGGACGGAGCTTTAGTGTTGGAGTTATAAACAGATATCTTTGTGCACTACCACGGTGTTATATCAAACAATCAAGATGTGACTGAAGCACAGCTTTAATTCAAGGGGATTAACAAAAGTATTGCATTAACTGTTTAGAATTTTTTTAAAAATGTACATAGACGCCATTTTCAGAGGTTTAAAAGCAATTGAGTTGACCTACAACCAGTGTTATGGACATGTGAGGAATTCATTCAAGTGTTGAACTTATATTTGGTAACAGTTCACTGGAACTCTGAATGTGAGGTCCAAAGAGATGGAGATGCAAGAGAAGGAAACAATCATTAGACTGAAGGACAAAATGCAGCTATTAGAGAGAGCAAACACATCAGCAGTGTTAAAAATTAACATTCTTACAAAGATGAAATGCACCAATCAGCTCAGCAATCACAAAAGGCCTGAAGGACCACAGAAGACTACAAAAGTACATGATGACAGAACGATTTTCACGGTTAAGAAAAAAACATCTAAGTCAAGAACACTCTCGAGGAGGTAGACGCATCTCTTTCAGTCTACAATCAATTGAAATGAAATGCAGAGGAAACCAGTCGTTTACAGCTAGATGCAAACCGCTGGTTACACAGGAAGAACGGGGAGGCTTGATTAGATTTGTACATTTGTACAGATTTGTACAACTCCCAGGCCACGGACCGGTACTGGTCTGTGAGTCATTTGGTACCAGGCCACGAGAGTTGAAGCTCGGATGTGAAATTGATGGTTTTCAGGGTTTTTATCGTTTTTATCTGTAACTTGGTTTCTCTGGGTCTTTTCCCGTGTGTTATGAATAAATCTTCCCTTTTTTGGTACCGGTACTGGTTTTATTTTGTTGTATTTATCCGCGACACCTTAAAGGCTGGTCCGTGAAAATATTGTCAGACATAAACCGGTCCGTGACGCAAAAAAAGTTGGGGAACGCTGTTTTAGACGACACGGTTCTGGAAAAAATAATTCTTTGAAAAGAAGAAACAAAGATTAACTTGTGAAAGAATGACAAGTGTGGAGAAGAAGAGGAACAGCTCCTGATCTAAAGCATACCACATCATCTGTCGAACACGTTGGAGGTCACATTATTGCATGCGCGTGTGGAACCATGTCATTTGCTTTTATTGATGACGTGAGTGCTGATAGAAGCAGCAGGATGGATTTTGGAGTGTGCAGGGCTGCACTCTGCTCAGATTCAGCCAACTGCTGCAGAACTGATTAGACCGAGCTTCCCAGTGCCAGTGGATAATGACCCAAAGCAAACTGTAAAAGGAACCTGAGAGATCTCTAAGGCAAAGAAATGGGATATTCTTTGATGGCCAAGTTAACCACCTGATCTCAACCCAATAGAGCATGCTGTTCAGTTATTAACTGGATGCAGAGAGACCCACAAACAAGCAGCAACTGGAGGCATAATTAGCAAAATGGTGTCACTTTCCAGATACTCACTGATCTGACCGATATCATCAACAAAGACAACAGCAGGCCTAGTTTCTTACCACAGCATGTTAATGGGTTCAGCTGGGAATAACAGTCTTTTTTGTACTCGTTGAATAATGTAATGTCTTATGCAATGCTTTGGATTTTTAAGATGACATGTAGTTCATAAATATTTCTCCTACAACCATAAAAGTTTTACCATCTGTGTTTCCAGACTATTTTGGATGTCAGGTAGCATACCTACTTCATCATCACTGTGGAGGGATGTTTATGAACCGTGAAGACGAGGGAGGAGCGGTTTTTGATCAGTAGAGTTGTCTGACTAGTTGTGCTGAGTGGCAGCATGAAGGGCTATTTTGAAAAGAGGGAGTGCGTGCAGTCACAACAATAGACTCATTGAGGGGATCATATGACAGCTCGGAATAGCTCTGAATGCCGAGAGAATAGAAGTAGTCATGTATCACAAATGTGGAGTGCTGGCCCGGGCCTCTTTTTCTTTGTTTAATTAATTGTTGTAATTGTCATGCATGTCAGGACCTTTGGGTGAATACTGAGCATACTGCAAAGGTCATGATCTGCAAGTCATGATGCAGCATGTTCATGGTGGGACCACAGAGCCACCAGGAGGCCCAGATGAGTCGGTTTCAGTCGCAGAGTAGGAAAAGGGAAATGTTACAGTTTTAGAAATAAGAATCCATAAATTATTATTGCTTATTCTAACTATCCTCTGTCTACGATGTAATGTGACCGGGTTGTTTGTCTGCTTGTTAGCAGGTGGGGGAAAAAAGCTTATGGCCAGACTTGCATGAAAATATTATTCTTAGGAGCCGGACTCGATCGAAATCTGGATCTGGATTCAGGAATATTTGGAAGGATTCTTTTTGATTACATCATCTACAGCTCACATTACCTGTGGTGTACCACAAGGATCAGTCTTAGGGCCTATTTAATTTTCTACTTATATGCTTCCACTTGTGTAAATTTTACAAAACCACAATGTTTGTGTCCCGTGAGAGCTCTGAGCTTAAAAGCTTAGCTGCTGTTTTAAACTGCTTGTTGTCTTTCTGACCCAGCCTTTTTGCTTTCTTGTATTTTCTCAGCTATCAAAGCAGGAAAAGCAGCAGCAGAGGAAAGAGAAGACGCGCTCCAAGGGTCCCTCAGAGTCCGGCAGGGAGAAGGGCGCCCAGCGTTCTCGACAGGACCCCAACGCCAGCAGTGGGGCAGAGGGGGACGTGTCTTCGGAGAGGGAGCCTTAGGTCATCAAGGTGAACGGGAAATATGCACACACACACATGCAGTCAGGTACAGTCACGCTCAGGCGTGTCTGTCTAATTTAGTCTTTAGAATTCGTCAATCATTTCCCATTAAATAAAGGCTCATCTTAAAGGGGACGCCCCATGCTGTTATCTGTTATCAGTCTGTGCACAAAGAGCACCTGTGAGACAAAAGCTCAGGCTTCACACTGCTCTAACCGCTCAGTTTCACATTGTTTTTCTACTCTTGCAAATATATGATGTCATAGAAGGAGGATGTGGTTATCTCAGGCACACGGCTCTGACTGTAAGTAAAAGGCTTGCACGCACCTGCTGTTCATACTTTCTACACAATATTCAAAAACAATTTAAACAAAAAAAAGTTGACATTTCTAGTCTAATTCTAACTCTTAGTATTTGCTTCTGCACAGTCGTCATCTCAGAGCTGCAGTTATTGTTTTGTTTTTTTGGCCGCTGTGGAGGCAGCTCCCACAACTTTGGAGTAGTGATGTAACCTGGAAAGCTCCTCCAGCCTTGGCAGAAGGAAGTTCATAAATTGATCCAAGAAATTAAAGAAACAAACCAAGTGTAAATATGGGAACGTGTCTGCCAAGGCTGGTACCACTGAAACTTCATTAGAGCCACAACAGGACAGCTTGCCGGCCGACTTAATTACCCTGCATGCTCGTCCACGCACGTCACTTTGTTTATGTGTGTGCGAGGTTGTGGGTAGTTGTGTTTAGTGTGCGGTTCTCCTGGAAAGGTCACAGCAAACAGGATATCAAGCTCATAAAATGGCTTTTTACTTGCTGCAACAGCTTTTAGTGACCATATGGAGAGCTGAGCGTCTGGGCTGGCGTGTCTTTTCTGCTCGACTTTTTTTGGGAGGGTGGGGGTTTGGAAACGGCACGGGAGGATGATGCATTGTGAGCCAGAAAGTATCCCAGGATGGAGATCTGTGATGGAGTTGTTTCAGGCACATAATTAATTTAAAAGCAAGCTTTTAAAATTAGTCATGTTTTGGAAATTTGGGAGGAGGTGGAGTTTTTTAATAACTCACCTGTCTGCATTTTTGTAAAACTCAGAGTTAGCGATGTGGCTACTTTGAGGTGTGTGCTAACACAGCTGTAAGCACTAGCTGTCTGCTAAGCCTCACATCTGCTAGTTAGTGACTTCTTATTATTAGTTGGATAATAGTAAATCTGCTGTGTTGCGCAGACCATCAAAGACCACCTGGGTTATGGGAAGTGAAATTGCAGTATTTTAGGTAGTGGATGGGTACAAACCCCACTGGGATAGTTGGGACACTTCCTGAAAATCCAATAAAAACTAAAACCTGATTCTCCTCCTCATGATGTGCTGGATATTTTCAAAGGGAGACAGATCAGGACTGCAGTCAAGCACACAGACTCCATGTCTACGAAGCCAGGTTTTTCCAATGAGGCCTGGCATTGTCTTACACACGGAGTTCCTGGGAAAAGACGATAATTTCCTGATGGGAGCATATGTCTGTCTAAAATTCCTCCTCCTCGTAGTGCCTTCACATATGTGCAAAGCCCCCATGCTACGGGCACTGGTGCACGCTGAGCCGTGAACTCATGTGACCACAGGACACGTTTCCATTGTTGCTCGCTCCATCTCGGATGAGCTTGGGCCCAGAACTCACTGATGTTTCTGCACAAAGTTGTTTGGAGTGTGTTGCAAGCATCTAAATGTGTTTAAGAGATAAAATTAAGTTTAAGTGGAAAAAAACATTTAAAATCTTTTCTTTGTCCTTTTGTCTGTTAAATAAATGTTCAAGTGTATGACGAAAAAGCCGATTTTAGTTTTATTCCCAATTTTTCTGGAAATCTGGTGTATCTGTATGTATATAATGCTTTACTACTTATACTGAGCAGTCAAAGCATTTCTAAACTGCAGTATTTTTTGTATAACTCTATTTATGGAAACAGAGTTATACCTTTAAACAGCATTTCCTGTGCTTACCTGGTTTTAGGTCCTTTTAAATTTGCTGAAACTCTGAGAACAAAATGGCTTTGCATCTGTGCGAGATCATTTTTGTCTTTTGCACTGTCAACAAATGCAGTCACCTCCCAAAAATAGTTATGTCCCATTTATAATATTAGTGTATGGTGTCATGTGCAATATGGCGCCCTTAAATCTGCAGTGAGAAGCAGTTACAGTTGTTCTTGTTTTCCACATCTCCCTTTTTCCATCTGTGCCTGATCTCTTTGTTTTTGTTGACATTGCGGTGAAACTCAGCAACCTTCATGAGAGACAGACCTGTTTGTTTCTCATTTTGTGCTTCTTATTGCAGTGTTGGGGGTGGTTTGGTGTGGGGGGGGTATGTTTTGGGGGGTTGTTCTTATTTGCCTTGAGTATTTGTTTACTAGTGCAAAAACAGACGAGTTCTGGGAGAACAGAGATGGGGAGGCATTGAGTCAGCTCTCTCTGTGTCCCCCTCTGCTCTCCCTGCTGAGGCTGCAGGCTCCTGCAGCACAGCTCCTCTCCCTCTGTGAACCCTCCGGCAGACATGCATTAATGGATATGCCCTCAAACTGGCAGCAATGCTTCCTGATCCTTGTGCTCAAAGATGGGGCAGTGCAGTTAGCTGCATTCAGACAAAAGCATGACTGACACCAGAGAGGTGAGATTAATGGGTTAGTGAGGTATCACAAGCTTAAATCAGTTTCACTGTCACGAAGGTGGCTCTCATTACCATAGTAACTTAAGTTGAACACATAAGCTGGTCTGGAGCAAGTAATGTCAATCACATGGCAGCAACTCAATGCATTTAAGCATGCTGACCTGCTGAAGTGCAACCTGAGCTGGGCTGGTCGGCTTTAGAAACTGCTGATCTGAACTGCAGAAGAGTATCTCTCAGTGTACAGCACATCAAACCTTGAAGCTGATGAGCCACAGCAGCAGAAGACCACACCCTCTGGCAATTTAGCCTGAGAGCGTGAATCCATCAATGGTTCAGGCTGCTACTAGTGTAATGGTGTGGGAGATGCCAACAATGCTTAGTACCAACTGAGATAACCAACTAAAAACTGATAAAAACCCTGAAAACCATACATTTCACACCCGAGCTTCAACTCTCGCGGCCTGGTACCAAACGATTCACGGGGGTTGGGGACCGCTGGCCTACCTGGGTGCTGTTGCCGAGCATCTTCTGATGGCTCATTCCAGCAGCTCACATCATCTTGAGTTCACTGTGCTCAAGTTGTCACAAAGGTCACCAAATCTAAATCCAGTAGAGCACCTTTGGGTGTTCATTTGACAAATCTGGAGCTACTGTGTGATGCTGTCGTGTTAATGTGGACAAAATCTCTGAGGAAAGCTTCCAGCGGTTTGTTGAATCTGTGTCATGTTGAGTTAAGGCAGGTTTAAATGTAAACAAGGGGCCAACCCTGTACTACAAAGGTGTGTCTAATGAAGTGGACACTAAATATAAAATCTATTGAGGAAATATGTGGTGTAGAAGTAATCCGTAGAGTCGAACCTTACTGACGTCTCTCGATTGGAGTAGGCGGCACTCAGTCACTTTTGAGCAGGAAATTATGACACGCCAAACACTCTGAGCCAGAAGCGGAAAACCTGATCCCAAAGTTTTAGACTTTTATTGACTAAATCGGCATTTTCATATCTTGTATGGAAAAAAACTCTCGAGTGATCCTCATCCAGTCACCTGATAGCTGCTGTTAGCTTCTAATGGCTTAAAACCTCCATCAAAACATCTGCAGGTGCAATGTTATTATTATGTCCTCCCTGAACTCCTCCACAGCAGGGGAGGATGCAGTGTAATCCTCAGGTTTTGGAAGCTTCAGCACCTTGTTACATAAGGTCTGACCAGAAGCCAGGGATGAGGGGGAAATGTGAGAGGAAAGGGAGTGGGTTTTTGTTTTTCCGATAAGGTGACAGTTATTTGGATTTTGGAGTGAGAGAGTGCACACACAGCACCTCGGGAAGTGTGTGTGCTGTAGCGAAAGAGAGGGATGGGTGGAGGAAAGAGGAAAAAGGACAGCGGCCTTGCTTGCTTAGCTCTGTAGTTGCATGTTTTATAGAGAGAACTGGTGCTCCCCAGGTTTGCTTTGCGTGACTTAAACATGAGCCGTGCTCGCCTTCCATCGAATAATTTGCGACAGCCCTCCATTATCTTCTCTGCTCGTCCTTCCTGTCTGCAACGCTCTAATTTCAAAATAGAGTTATGTTAAGTTATCAGTACAGGAAGGTTTCAGCTGCTGTGAAGAGGTTCCAGCTGTAGCTGTTCTCAGGACTGTCGGAGATGTTCACACCACACGTAACTGCACCTTTAAATTTAGCTTTCATTGCTACAGTCAGCGTTTTTGTGCAGATCTTTTAATATGATGCAGACTTTTGAATTTGTCTGTTCACCTAAAATGGAAGCTGCACTTTAAACCTCCAGGAATTTTTACTTCTTTTCATTTTAACAGGAATAAAATGGGAAAGTAACAAATAAGGCCAAAGTCTGTGGGGGGGGAAAGCGTCCATGCTTAGCTTTGAATGGCTTATTTTAGTCCGTAAAGATATTGCTGTCGATATAGTCTTGCTTTTTGTGTTAGTTGGTTTTTAAAGATTTATCTTAAAGATTTTTAGTCTTAATCTGACCAGACATGAAAGCAGAGAGAGAGTGGTAGGAAACCACACCCCTGCAGTGGCTTTTAGTATATAGGTCCCCCACTCAAACCATAGATCAGTTTTGTTTTTAACTACATTTTCCATCTTTTAGAAAAGATTATTCTTGTTTTGTACCAATTTGGGCTTTAGATTGTGATCTTTGGAGTGTCCCAGTCCATAAATACCATAATCTGTGCAGATTAGGTCCGTGTGTGTCTGCTGTCTGAGCAGGATGGAGCTCAGGATTAAGCCATTGTCTTTTTTTATGCCCTACATTGTTATTTTATTTTATTTTTCTTGAGGTATCAAAACCCGATGACATCATTTCTTGATTTTAGTTATCTTGGCTGGAGCTGAATACACAGCTCCAGCCAAGATAACTAAAAACGAGACTTCACCCAACAAAATTCCTAGTGGATAAACCAACTATGAGCATATCATAAGAATCTCATGGAATATTCACAGGTATGTTTCATCTGTTTTCTGATAATAAATATATTATTAAAAGAAAACAAAAAGACCTGCGAGCTTCTATCCTCCAAGCTCGGGTCCTCTACCAGAGGCCTGGGAGCTTGAGGGTCCTGCGCAGTATCTTAGCTGCTCCCAGGACTGCGCTCTTCTGGACAGAGATCTCTGATGTTGTTCCCGGGATCTGCTGGAGCCACTCGCCTAGTTTGGGAGTCACTGCACCGAGTGGTCCGATTACCACGGGGACCACCGTTACCTTCACCCTCCGCATCTTCTCCATCTCTTCTCTGAGTCCTTGGTATTTCTCCAGCTTCTCATGCTCCTTCTTTCTGATGTTGCTGTCAGAACTGCTACATCGATCACTACGGCCGTCTTCTTCTGTTTGTCTACCATCACTCTGTCCGGTTGGTTAGCCACCACCATTTTGTCCATCTGTATCTGGAAGTCCCACAGGATCTTAGCTCGGTCATTCTCCACCACCCTAGGCAGCATCTCCCATTTTGACCTCGGGACTTCCAGGCCATACTCAGCACAGATGTTTCTGTATGCTATGCCAGCCACTTGGTTATGGCGTTCCATGTATGGCCTGTCTGAGAAGGCAGCTGGATAGCGTGGTAGTAAGACTTACACACCTTTGGAACAGGAGTTGTGGGTTTGATTCCCGAATGCTAACTAAGCCTACCTCTAGGGCTGCCACGATTAGTCGACTAGTCACGATTACGTCGACTATCAAAATCGTCGACGACT